ACAACAACAACAACAACAACAACAACAACAACAATGACAAGGAACCAACAACACCCATCAGCAACTTTGACAGCACAGTCCACTTCTTCATCAGCAACACTCAGCATCACTAACAAGCAACAGTATATCTCCAGCAGCACTCATATCCACACCAGCAGTATTAGCAACAACACTAACCAGCAAGCTATTGATGCCAGCTACCAAGGACAACAAATCAATGGAAACAACAAAGCTTTGCTAGTAACAAAAAGTGCAACGGATACATACGTACTGTATTGGAAGCGTACGTATTGTATTGGAAGCGTACATACATACAATGCTTCCTTGGAATGGATGGACATACCATTCCTACCTACATATCATAAGGTACTATTCATATATATATATATATATATATATATATATCATACAATCCATTGTACCGAGAGGTCTAAGAATACGAGGTACGATCGAGAACACCTTACAAAGAACAAAGATGTCACGAGTCTGGAATAGGAGAATCCTCATGTACATTCAGTTTAGGAGAATCCTCATGTACATTCAGTACCAGATCTACATGAGGATCTAATCAGAACTTCAGAATTCTTGTGATCGCGCTTGGTAATCTTCGATAAATCTTAATCTTATAATTTTTGACTTCATACACACTTAAACATACTAAGAGTACACGTATTTCGTGCAACAAGCAGCACTATCAGCGACGCTCAGCAACACTATTAACAGGCTCAGAAACACTAGTACTAAGGATACTCATCAACACTAGTACTATCAGCAACACTATTACACCACCATCAATGCCACTCAACAACATAACCAGCAACCAACACCCGTCAAGGACAACAACACAACAACCAACAAGAAGGACAATGCAACAACCGGAGACAACACCAAGGGCCCTCGTGGAGTCCCAATCTGCAGCCTTTGAAGCAGCCTTTGAGTTTGAACCAGATGTTGAAACTTTGTTCTTCAAGGATGATGAGAGCTCATGTGATGAAGAGGTTGTTGATGATGATACTGAGTGCAAGCATTATTACTATGATTCAGACACTACTGGAATGAGTCACAAGGAGGTAGCATAAGCTGAGTTCTTCAATGTAATCACCCAGAGCCAGACAGCTTGGAACTGGGATAATGCTATCAAGCCTCATGATACAGAGTTCTAGTTGATAGCAGTCATTACTTTCCAAAGGTTCCAGTTGGTTCTTATGAAAGGAAGGATCCAAAGATTGACAAGAAAGAAGAACCTGAAGACTGGAATGATGTTGATAATCCAGGTGGTTGGCATCCCTATTACTACAGATCCAAGTTTGAAGCAGGTACGGGGAAATACAAAGGACACTTCCTTCCTTCTGAGTGTAAGCCTGTTGAAATTCCTAAACACTTAGCTGGTCTCGGCAAGGAACCCATCAGGGAGGACAAAGGGTGGAAGTTTCATTACCTTGGGTGGGATGGTACTGTGGAAGATCCTAACAACCAGGTTACAAGGAAGTTTGCTACTACTAGAGATAACATGTTTCCAGAGGAGAGGAAGGGGAAGCTAGATATCTTCAAGCTTCAGCAACATGGTCTTACAAAAGATTGTATTGAAAACGGAGACAAATTCTTTTTTTATCAGCTGCTGCTACCTATTGCTCCTGATTCAATGGAAGCTCAGCGGTATCAGATTGAACCTGAGAAGGAGCATACTGATTACAACAAGGTGATGAGGTATATCAATGCCTTCATCTCTGATTCAAACAAAGGGGAAGGACACCAAGTAAAACCTGTCACCTTACCTGAAGCAGTTCATTTTGATGGCATCCTTTTTATTTATGGTGCTTGTGGAGGAGCCTGTGAAAACATCAAGTTTAGGTGGGATTCTAAGGATCTTTCATTCAACTAGGAGATTGCAAACACTATGACTTGTACCAGGTGACATGACATTAGAAGGAACTTAAAAGCTGTGTATGAACAATTTAGATAGGCATCACAGCAGATCCCCCAACAGTGGCAATCTAGTTTACAAGTTTGACTACATATGAGACTATTGTCAACAATATGAATTATTTCACTGAATGGGCAGGCTCAGACCTATGTATTGACAAGATAAGCTGGCTATACCAAGGTTCTGGTGGTCCACTGTTAAGTATCTCAAAGGAAAGATGATTAGGATAGACAGACAGACAGTTGTTATGTCTGATATTGATTGCATCTGCCCCAGACCATCATGGAAACACCAATAATGTGGATGGGAATCTAGTGATGATCAGCATACCTGCACTGGCCCTGCTGAAGTTCATCACCTTGTTGAAAACTTTGTTCTTGGTAACATTGGATTGGGCAAGCTGTGGAAGTCCCCACCCCCTATCACAGCTGACAATTTCTTTCTACCAGATTCCATCTTGGATTGGATGGGTGAACAAGGCTTGGGTATGATGGGAACTGTTGCTAAAAACTGATTACCTGCAAAGGTTCCTGGAAATTACTTTCATAAGAAGAATGCTGCTGGAGATTTGAACAGGAAATAGAGAGCTAAGGTGTCATGTCTTGCTAAGCCTGTCACTGCTGTGAAGACTGTACCAGCTGATCCTGAGAAAAGAACCAAAGCATACAGATGGGTGCATTGTTCATTCCAAAGAACTGGAGCTTGCAATTTAGGATTAGTGAACTCCATTTCATCCTCATCTCTTTGCATTCACCAGAAGGAAAGGGGAAGGGGAAATGACAAGTGATGATGGGGCATTGAAATGAATGAGTCTCCGGAGGTTTATCTGTATACTTACAGGAAACTAGACCATATTGATGCATATATCTCCTCCAGAGCTAACAACGGATACAAATTGTGGAAATACTACCATGATGCTGCAATTAATAATGCAAAAGCATTAGCCATTGCTACATCATATGACATCTAGTACAAAGAATGTAGTTTAGATGATGAGTGGAAGGTAAGCAACATAATGAGCTATTGTGAGTTCCACCAGAAGCTTGCTTTGGAGGTGATAAAATACAATCCAGTGGAGCAGGCATATCACTGTGATGCTAGACTCAGACAGTGTACAAAAGCAACACAAAGGTTCAGAAGCAATAGGGCAACTAGAAGAAAAGCATGTAAGACTTTCCTTAAGAATGGTAAGTTCCTTGGATATCATAATTTCCAGATCATGAACCAGATCAATGGAAGATTTTGCTTCACTCAGACTGAATATACTAAAAAATGGAGAGCCCATCTGGAAGTTCTGTTACAGCAACTATCACAATTATTAATGGTTTGGTCTTGGAAAAAGTGATTACTGCTCTAGAGTAAGAAATGACAAATCAACTAAAGACAGGAGAAATTGGAAGCCTCTAAGCAATAAAGAGTTGAAAGATAACACTGACTACATGAAATTCTTATTGGACATTGAAGAAGATGGGGATGACACTAGCATTTCTAGTGATGTTGGTGTTGTTGTTTTGCCAAGCAGCACTGACGCAACTACTGTTGATAGTGAACTAACTCTACCAACTGAGGATAGTAGCACTGAGTTAAGAAGCACAGTGGTTGGACCATTAGAAGCAGGAGTATAATAACAAACAAAATAGTAAAAATAGTAATTATTACATATTGATAGTTTGCTCTTTTGTTTGCTCAGTTCTTTGTTCATGCAGTTGCTCATTTGTTTGCTCCTTCAGTTGCTTGTGCAGTTGCTGATGCAGTTGCTTATTTTGTTGTTGCTTTGTTGATTACTTTGTTGCCAGTTGCTAATACTGTTGTTGATTTGGTTGCTGGTTCTCAGAATTCATCTCCTTGTAGTCAGCTGAATCAAAGGAGAAGCTTTGATCCATGTAAAAAAGATGTCCCCACTCATCAAAGGCAAATTCTTTTGCACACTGAATACATGGGGTGATGTTGTTTTCCCTCTTCATTACTGTCCTGTAGATCTCAATGAACCACTTGTGTTTATCACCAACACTCATAAATGGAGGCAACAGCAGCTTTGGGAATTGAGCCAATTCAATGGCCTTTTTAAGATCTTTCTTTTTCAAGCAGGTCTTCTTTAAACAACCAGCGAAGTTCTCATTGAGTTCTTTGTTGTATGGAGTAGGTTGGCTGTTCCATTCCCACTCCTCCACCCAGTTCCAGTCATGATTCAATACAAATTGGACCTGTGGCAAGGGATCATTGATGATTTCTGATTGAGGGGGCTCAGAGGCTTTGTACATGAACATTCTGGCTTGATGCCTTGTTGCCTTCTTTGTTTTGGCTCTCCTCCTGTTTAATTTCACCMTTTGCTTTGAGTGAAGACAACCACCAAACAAGACTGCTTGAGTGCGTTGTGGAGGGACTGAGTCTGGGGAGCTTGCAGGGTAGCATCAATATACATCTTTATGGAGGTCTTTGGCAAGGAAGTCTGGTGTTTTTAGTATTTGTTGTTGCTCAGTGTGCTTGTTTTGTTGTTGTTGCTGCTGCTTGCTTTTTGAAGTATCCTCCATTTTAGCTGGGGTCATCTGCCCCATAGGATGTACTGTTCTCAATTGATTTGAGGAGAAAGAAATGGGATTGATGCATTGTATTAATAGCAAAGAGAAATGCTTCCATCACAGTTCCTTCTGATAAACCGGAAAGAGAACAAATGTATCAAGGAGGAGGGGTATTGCCAAGTTATGAGTTCACACAATTAGTGGCCTAAGTGTCTGTTGTGGGACGCAAATGCATTGAGTCAAACAAGTAGTCTTAACATGGTAATTAGATGGCCCAAAATCAACACACCAAACAAAATACACATAGAGAGTTAACTAGGGGTCAACTCACTCTAAGAGCTCTATGTTGGTCCACAATGGTAGCTTTCCATTAATAACAACGACATGAATGGAAAGTCAATAACAAGAACAAGTTTATAGTCATGTGGGGGGTTATTGGGGGTTAACGAGTATTGAAAGGTATACAATGCTGTATGTCTGAAGTAAAAAATGTACAAATGGTTTGGCCAATACAATAGTAGTAGTTCAGTCTTGCTGCATAAATATTTACTAGTCCCATATGCATTCAATTTTTCAATGCTGACACACACTTGTGGAGTGCAGTGTTGCAAACCAGATGCAAACATTTTGAATGTAGTAGTGTTGCATTGCAGCAGTCAAATACTAGTAGTACTACTTGCCTCCTGTTCTTGTTGCTGCATTAAGGAGGACTCATAGTATTTTTAGTACTACTACTAGTAGTACTATGAGATGAGTACCAGTCAGAAAACAACATCAGAGTAAACAGACTTGTTCGTATTGATCAATTGGGCCGTGACAACTTTCAAAGGACTGACTGGAATCTTGGTTAGAATGTTGGAATTAGGTAAAGGAAATGACTGATTGTTCTTGATGTCGGGATACAAAAGCAGGAACTAAAACATGTTTATGTTGTCATCCCAAATGTTGTTTGACCTGTTAGTTTTTTTTTGCCCAAAGATATCAATCTGAGAGACCATTGCACCAACAATTACTAGTTAAAACCACCATCTCCTCCCACCGTGGAGAGAGATAATATGTATCTTGTTAATTGACAGGGATAAACATGCAAACTATGACAACCAGGACTGTGATTGGTTGGTTGTTACTATTTTTTGGTTGTGGTTCTGATTTTKGTTTCCGTTTCTRTTTCCAAAAATTCAGAAAAAACGAATAGTTGTGGTACAGGGTGTTCACAATTTACTGCTTGGGTGGTGCAATAGATGAAAATAAAGTGAAAAAAGTTGGAGTGATTTGTCATCTAGTAATACAACTACTTGGGTATCACAACAGTTAAACACTGTCACAACCTATCATGACCTCCTGTAGCATCACACATAATCTGGTTCACAGGCTGCTATGATTTTGGTTGGAGAAAACAAACATAAATACCAAGCATGGAGCATATGGAAGACAAAAAAGGGGTGGGGAATCTAAAAAAGGGACGCTACGGGATGTGAAGGGTCGTGATCACTTTTTGTGACGTAGTAGTACTACTAGTACTAGTACTAGCAGGGTTATCTGGCAAGAAGAATAAATGCTGGATAGTAGTACTAGTAGGCTCGTCCAACATGAGCTGCTGCTGGTGACCCCTGGTTAAAAAAGCAGAAATGTACAGAACCTGGCTGAAACTGATTTATTTTCAACGGGTAGTAGTAGTGAACTGTTTAGTGCAAGTAGTGACATCAGTGAAGACCCCTACAGTAGCTAATCCACTTCAGTCCCAATCAAGCTCTGCTTGAAAGTTATTGTACGTCCGTTACGTACGATACAAATGCTACTACCAGGTACTGTAATTCGTAATTCGGGAACATTGGAACTGCTTGATTCATTGTTCACTGTTCTTGTCCTCGCAAAGACACCAACTATCATGAGCAGTATTAGTCGAAGTAGTCAATACTTCGGTCGACACACAGTCGCAATTTCTACTTTTCTCGATGACGCGACGATGATGTATTTTGTATTTTGTGTACCGGTACGATGAACTACGAACTCGTACCGGTACTAAAGTGTACGGTAATACACTTGTTTCATGCCTTCGTTGGAAGGCAAATTGCGTCTTGGTTGACAAAACAGTTACGATCGACGTAGAACACGCATCACCAATCACCGAAATAGACAACTGCCGAACGGTAACGCAGCCCCATAGAAAGCAAGACAAAATCTTCATCAAACCTCTGAAAGWACTTCACAACGCATTGCAATACCTATCAAGACAGACATTAAAGTAACAATGAATCTCTCGTCCGCTGTAGCAGGTCTTTCGGCAACTCTCGCCCTCGGTGCCCACAGCTTTACGCCTACGTCATCAATACGTCCGGCGGCTGCATCATGGAGAAACACGAACACAGCACTAGGTGCGCTTGACGAGGGCATGATGGGAAGATTAGAAAACATTAAAAGGTCATACAATGCCTTGACCGAACGTCTGGGAGATCCTGATGTACTGGGAGATTCCAAACTCCTGCAGAAGGTTATGAGCGATCGAGCGAGCAGCGAAGAAGTCGTTCTGGCGTACGACGAGTACACTGGACTACTAGAGGAGTTAGAGGGTGCGAAAGAACTGTTTCAGGATGCCGGAGACGACCCCGAGATGAAAGAAATGGCTCGAGCCGAAATGAAAGAAATCGAGCCAAAACTGGAACCTATCGAGGACAAAATCAAAATTTTGCTGTTGCCGAAGGATCCGAATGACGATCGCAACGTAATGCTAGAAATTCGTGCCGGTACGGGGGGATCCGAAGCCAGCATTTTTGTAGGAGATCTTCTGGATGTTTACCGAAAATACATTTCATCCCAAGGATGGAGCGCCAATATTATTGACGAGTCTACCGGAGATGACGGAGGTTACAAGAATATCGTCATGGAAGTGAAGGGAGACAAGGTATACTCTAAATTGAAATGGGAAGCCGGAGTCCATCGCGTCCAGAGAGTTCCTGCCACAGAGTCTGCTGGACGAGTTCACACGTCTACTGCTACAGTTGCAATCATGCCCGAGTGTGATGAAGTAGACATCAACATTGACAAAAAAGACATTGAAATGTGAGTGCTTTCGTACGGCTTGACCCTTTCGTTCACATCGTGCTGCCGTTTATGCTTGTCAAGACGTGCCGATATCATAATTACTTGTTAATGCCTTGCACTTTTCCCTCATCTTGCATTTCTGAAATTCTTAGTTCAACCATGCGATCAGGAGGTGCTGGTGGCCAGGTATGTTCACGAACAGGTAGTACCGTTCAGCAATTCAGTAATACGAGATCCTTCCACTTTTCTTATTATTTTTTCGTTATGTCCTATGTTTTTGTTGTTTTCAATGTTGCACGAATCTCCATGTCTTTTAGAATGTCAACAAAGTTGAAACAGCCGTAGATCTTCTTCACAAACCTACTGGTATCCGAATCAAATGCACCCAAGAGCGATCTCAGCTGAAAAACAAGGAGTTGGCAATGAAGATGCTCATGTCGAAGCTCTACGATCTAGAAAACGAAAAGCGAGACATGGAGGAACGGGCACGTCGAGGATCCCAGGTTGGTACGGGTGGGAGAAGTGAAAAAATCCGAACATACAACTGGAAAGACTCTCGTTGTTCGGATCACCGCATTCAGCAAAATTATCCTCTGAACCAGTTTTTGGGCGGGGATATAGATCCAATCATTGGTGCGATGATCATGAAAGATCAAGAAGAAAAACTCAAAGAACTTGCCGAACAAAACGCAGTTTAGTTTTGCTAGTTATTGATATAACTAGATTTCTTAGTTGAATGAAAAGAATATATCAATTGGAATGTATGAGCGTAATTTATATCTTTTATTGCTAAAGTGTGAGAAATCATCACTTCTTCCGTGGAAAAGGCTCATCCCCATTGTTTTTCTTCGCCCCAAATTCTTCTGAACAAAGCTTGTGTATTGATCATCAGATTGCATGTCCCCTCTATTGCTATGTTTATTACTTTGTATTATCGCTGCACGATATCTAAACCTTCTCCTTTATCATCCTACCCCCTGTAGATTGAATTGCATTTTTGTCTCAATTCTTCCAAATCGCTCACGTCGTTGGATTGGACTCTGCAATAACGGGACTTTTGGCGTGACGAAGCTCGGCGTTTTCACGAGTCAAAGCTTCGATCTTGGCCATTAGGTTCTGAACGAAGGGATCAGAATCAATGCTCTCCCTATTCATAACCCTGATAGGGACCGACAATGATGGCTCTATGATCGTACTGTTGTCATCGTTGTCGACAATAATTCTGTCGCTCGTGATGGAAGATTCAGTCCAAGATAATGTCAACGGTTCTGTGGCAGCGATGCTCGGGCTAGTTCCAGGATCATGAGTTGGTTTCAGAGAATTTTTTCCACTATAGAGATGTCCATTTTGGAATCCCTTTAAATCGACGAGTTCGAGTTCAAGTTCGAAGTTGAGGTCCCGTTCTTCCTGTGTATGAAGTGCCTTTTTTAACCGATCGCACGAGTCCTGTAAGTCCTTCATTTGGAGTTCCAATTTGTTGCATTCGGCTACCTTTTCGTCCAGTTTGTGTTGCTGTTGCTGGAAATTCATCTCTTTCCTGTGATGGAGTTTTGATGCGTTCGCCAACTCCTTTTCCAAGCGTTCCGCATCGTTTGCCTTCTCCAACAATCTGACATTCTGTGCCAGCAACTCATCCACCATGGAAGATTTTCCATTGAGAGCGTTCTTCTCTTTTCCAACCTCTGCGATGCGATGCCGATGGTCCAAATCGCTCGTCTGTATCTGGTCTGAATATCGTTGAATTTTTCCTAGAGCCTGTAACGAGGTTTGCTTCAAACAAAGCCAGTGAAGATTTTCACGACGGTCCTCCGAAGCCGCCAACTCTTCTTCCATGTTTCGGAGCCTCATCATTTTTTCTTTAATAATTTCGATGCTTTCGTTCACTTTTCTTCGTCGCGATTGTTGCCCACCAAGGGCAGTCTCGATGTTGTTTATATCGTCATCGTCATCGTCATCGCCACCTACTGTTGAATGAATCGTTATTGAATTTTCGATCTTTTGCATCTTGGTTACACTGGCCTTATATCGACAAAACATTGGACCAAATCGCTCTCTCACATCATTCGTTCTTGACTTTCTTTCTCGCTCAAAATCTGTGTGGATGGTTGGTTGCAAGGAATTACTTCTAGATTGCAATGGCAACAAATCGATACTTGCTTCTGCCGAAAATAAATCGATTGCATCGGCATCGTCACACGACGGTGACGTCAACGAAGAAGCCATCTATTTTGAATAGGAGAAGTATCAGATGTTATTCGGAGGTGTTCAATTTCTCATTTTCTGTCTCGAAGCATATCGTACTTCGTTGAAATTCTTGTCCTCTGCTGATTCCGTATGCCGCTTGGTATTCCAATATGAGTTCCTCATTTGATTGTACGGTACTTGTATCGTACGGTATGATATATCGTATTGAGTCTGCCATTGCATAGTCGTGCAGCGTACCGGGTCCCGTATGGAACAATGAACAATTTCGTTTTTGTCTTCGTATGTTACAGTACAACACGTACCTTTCTGAAAAAAATGGCGCGATACGAATTTTGAATTCGTCTTCTCCGATACATACAAAAGTCGTGCATGAGCATACTAATTTGATTTGAAAAATAGTACTTTACGATTTTCCGTTGGCAGTCATGGACTCGTGGAGAAGGTCATAATTACAAAATAATGGATGATTCCCGTTATTCTAAAATCTCTAAATTTGATAGACTGACAGACCGAAAATTTAGACAATGTGACTCTAGATTTAGCATATTTAGAACCGGTCAAAGCACCCCATCCTAAATACTCTGGATTTAGAGTGGAAACCACGAATAAAATTTCCAGTCGTCTGTTGAAGGATTCTGGAAAGACTCAACAGAAACCCCCGTTAAAATTAAGACTGATTTCAACAAAATTCAGACTTTGCTGTTCTAACAACAAACAACAATCTTTTCTCTCTACTAAACCATCACGCCTCTCTTAACAATGGCACTAAGGGACCTCTGTCAACAGAGCCATTTAAGTAATGTCCCAACAATTGGTCTTTTAAGTCACTACATTCTATTTCCTCTCTGTTGTTCAAGTGGAGGAGGAGCAGGCCGGCAGCTGCAAAGAGGAGGCACCAGCTCATTGTCCAATCCCTCACATTATTTTTGTTAAGATGGATCAAAACAGCAACAACCCCCCTAACAACAGCCCCAGGGTTGGCACTGTTAACTACTCTGAAGAAGAGCTTGAGAGCCTCATGGAGTTGATACTGGAGGTACTCCCCATCAATGCAGCAGAACAGTGGAATACTGTTGTCACCAAGCATGCTGCAAACTTCCCCTTTCACCGAAGCAAGAAATCCATTAGGAACAAGTACAGTTCTGTGAAAAGAAGGAGAAGCTCTACGGGTAACCCCAATATGCCTAGGTACATGAAGCTTGCAAGGCAGGCCCATTTCTTGATTGGAAAGAAAGCAAATATTGGTAGTACTGGAGAGGAAGACTTTGATATGAAGAAAGGATTTGTTAAGAGTGAGGCTGTGGAGGGTTTGGAGACCAACACCTCCCCTGCTGTATGGTCCAGTGGAGTAGGAGCACCCATTATCCTTGCTGGTGATGGAACAAGTGATGAGTCATTGATGTTGGGGCTGTTAGTTGTACAATCATCGTCGACTACTCCAATGAAGAGATCATATGGAAAAAATGTTCCTGATGCTGCTGCATTCAATGAGTATTTGAAAACCCAGCAAGAAAGGGACAAAGAGAACAGTGAGATAGAATTAGAGCATTTCAAGATTGCAAAGGAGGCAAGCCAAATTGCTAAAGAGACCAATGAGATGTGGAGGGATGCCCTTGGAATGGCAATGGCTTGCTTTCAGCAATGGCAAAGCACCCAGACCACCAGTAGCTTGTCCAAGATGGCAACATCAACATCAACATCAACATCAACATCAACATCAACAT